AAGTTAAGAGTCAGCCACGCCTACCTAAAACGGCTCGTTCTAACACACCCCACATACCTACGTCACTATCTGGGAAGAGTTGCATAACGCCGCCCAAATAGTGACGTAGGTATGTGGGGGCGTGTTAGAACGAGCCGTTTTAGGTAGGTGTGGCTAACTCTTAACTTTTATAAATGTGGAAAATAATGTGTTTTTTGAACCTTAAACCGCATAAACACATTTCATTACACCAAATACACAAAATAATGTTCTTTTTAGCAACATCATATGACCCCTTTAAGTTTGCTCTTGTGGTAAACCTGTTCTGAAGCATGCATTTTAATTTTAAACCACTGAAAGTTTTCCTCAAAAGTCTAGACTTGCTGTAGTCATACAGTTATCCTTTAACCAGTTCCCTCTGGGCTTTTGTTATCTATCCGCTGTTTGGTCTCTGAGTGGGAAATACCAGATGAAGAGAGCTAAATCATTAACTCGTTTCCACGCCAAGGTTAAGCTCACTCAATGTTTAGCCAATCCCCTGAGACTTTTTCCAGAATAACTCCACCTTCCTCATCATTGCATTATAAAGCATGAGCCATTGTGCCGAAAGCCTTTCCTTGGCGAATGGAATTCATTTCATAGCACATTCTTGTATAAAACAGAATGGCAGCTCTGGGGTTGGAGATATTAGGGGTCACTCTAGCTGTGCTCGGTTGGATTGTAGGCATCGTGTCTTGCGCTTTGCCCATGTGGAAGGTCACAGCTTTCATCGGGGTGAACATCGTAACGGCGCAGACCATATGGGAGGGAATCTGGATGAACTGTGTAGTGCAAAGCACTGGCCAGATGCAGTGCAAAGTCTACGACTCCATGCTGGCTCTCAGCTCAGACCTGCAGGCGGCCAGGGCTCTGTGTGTGATTGCCATTGTGATGGGAGTACTGGGACTCCTACTCTCCATTATAGGAGCCAAGTGCACTAAATGCCTAGAGGAGGAGCGGGCCAAAGCCAGAGTCATGATCGCCGCTGGAGTCACCTTCATCTGCGCTGCGGTCATGCACTTGATCCCTGTGTGCTGGTCTGCTCACAGTATCATCAGATCCTTCTACAACCCCGTAATCATAGAGGCAAAAAAGAGGGAGATCGGTGCGTCTCTTTACCTGGGATGGGCATGTAGCGCCCTTCTGCTGATTGGAGGGGGGATTCTCTGCTGCAGCTGCCCCCCGCAGGAGGAGAATAGGTACAGTCCATCCAGCAGGATGGTTTACTCCGCTGCACGGTCTGTACCACCCGCTGGCTTTGACAAACGAGACTATGTGTGAACAAACGTACTCTTTTTGTGTTGCAACTCTGTTCATATGTGTCCTGAACAGAGAACGTGATGATACAGCACAAGACAGTGTGTGTTTCTGGACAGTGAGTTCTGCTGTTTTGCCATTTCTTTTGTTACCAAGTTCATGCAAGCAGTTTTGAAGAATTGCAAGTATTATATTATTACTAAAAATAAGCACATGCAAAAGTGTGTTCATAGCCATGTGTATATTGATATCGAGGTTGTCCTTTTTAGTATTGTGTTACCAATAACTAAAATTTCAGTGTTTTAGTATGTTTTTGTAAACTTTTCGTTACATGCATCTATATGATGTATCAAGACTTGTAGTCTAAGTGTGCCACATTAACTTTAAAACACGTTCATTAAAAAAATACAAATTAATTTGTTTCTATGTTCCATGATTTTTGGGTCCTAATTAATTTCATTTATTAACTCTTTCCACACTTTTTTTTTTGAAGTTGCAAGCTATTTTCAGCATTTGTGATCATTTTCAAAAACATTTAGTGGCACCCAGAATATTTTATTGTATGAATATATGAACAATGTAAAATGAAAGAAAAAACCCTACCTTCCTGCATTTTTTCATCAATATTTGAATGTGAGTAATTTTCATTAAATAAAAGCATCATTTTGAACAAAAAGCTGAGAAAATCACACTTTTATTAAAGTCTACATCCGGATCAGATTGAGAATGATGATCAAAACATAGATGGAGTAGATCGCTTCCATCAACACCCCCAAAGCTTCACAGACTTAAACCACTTCCTCTGTCGATATTTCTTTCGGTAACGTTAGGCAGTTTTGTTTTGTATGCTGTTTAAGTAATGTTTGATGATCGTGTTAGCTTACATGTGCATAAGCAATGCTTCTATCATGTGTTTCTGCTTCTTCTTCATTGTTTATGGATCCAGAAAATCAGTGCTATTTCAAAAGATGTGAGTAGCGCCCCCAACTGTCTAATAGTGAAAACATGGATTGGCAGAAAATTCTGTCAGCGGTGGGGAAAGAGTTAGCATAAAACTGATTTGTCTCAGAAATGTCTTTGAAAATGCACTGAACGAACATACTGTGCCATCTTTGTTCAGTTGTCTATGGAAAACAATGAAGAACACTGAGTTAAAAGAAACTTTCATAGCCTCAATAATAAAGTGATTAGTTGAATCAGCTGTCACTAGGCCTAGTTATTCACCTGTTTTCAAGGTCTACTCGCTCTCTGCACAAGAATCGTGTCTTTGTCAGGGCCCTAATCTAAGCCAGTCCCAGACAATAGGCCTATTTCAGGGATGAAGATGAGGCACTGGGTCATGGAATGAAACAAAAACAAAAAACCTGCTTATGGGCCTTTGAGAAGATCCAAGCAGCTTCAAGCATCTTTAGGATTGTAACTTTGATACTGTTGAGTATCATGCAATCCATAAAATATAAAACATAACTTGCAATGCATGTGAAATACATTGGCTGATGTGTGTCTAAATATGTTTAAAAATAAATCTAAATTTTTCTTAAGGGTGGCATCCTCCCCCTATATATGTTGTATATATATATTCGAATGTAGGTAATTTTGTCTAATCAAATAATGCTCAATTAGTGCTGTTTTTTTTATAATTAACTCATACATTTATATATTAAACAAATAATAAAAAAACAGTGTCATCTCTGGTGCACAATAGTAAAGTCTGTGTAAAAATGAAAAGATCCTAGAACTTTTGGAGTTCTTCACGTTATACACAGTGTATAGTGGACAATATGGCATATACTATATAAGGTCTAGTGAATAAGGAAATATAAAGTTATGTTTAGGTATCTACTGTAGAATATAGTCATGCAGAATAAGGCATTAATACAGTATATGCTCTATAAGTACTACTAATAAACAGTCAATATGGGAAGTAATATGCATGCTCATAAGAAACTAATGGTGAATAGTGTTACCCAATCTAAAGTGTTACCGAAAATGCTGTATTATTCATGTCAGGCTAGTAGTTGGTGATGTCACTTTGTAAAGAAACACTACACTCATGCGCACAAACCTACAGACTGAACACGTAATACACACGTGCATGACATCGCCGTTTTCACAAATTCACTGATAAGATAATGGCATCATTTATAAAAATGCGCACTTTGAAACACATGCTCAAAAGTTTGCATTTTCAACTTAAAGGGATAGTTTACCCAAAAATGAAAATTCTGTCATTAATTACTCACCCTCATGTCGTTCCAAACCCGTAAGACCTCTGTTCATCTTCGGAACACAAATTAAGATATTTTTGATGAATTCTGAGAGCTCTCTGACCCTCCCATAGACAGCAATGCAATTACCGCGATCAAGGTCCAGAAACGTAGCAAGGAGATCGGTAAAATAATCCATGTGACATCACGGGTTCAACCGTAATTTTATGAAGCTACAAGAATACATTTTGTAAGCAAAGATAACAAAAATAATGACTTTATTCAACAATTCGTCTTTTCCGCGTCACCCTGGTGCCATTTTGGAGAATATCCAAAATGAATGTAAACAGCGTATGCTATTCTGTGTCAGCTGCGTCACGCGGATACGTTGTTTTCGTTCAAATCAAAGCGTAACCGTGTGACACGTTACTGTGTAGCTATAAACACATTTAAAATCAGATAGTTTCTAAAATGAGCTAAAATGCAAGAATGAATATCTATGAAACTGTTTGCGCTGTTTTTAATTATCCAGCAATGAACATCATGCTGTGAATTCTCCTTGTGAATTTACCATAGCAACGTGCTGTACATAGCCTAATGCAACAGATGTCTGAGACACAGTAAATTAATAACATTCTCTAAAAGAAGTATTTAATGAAATTGGTAAGGCAAGGCAAGGCAAGTTTATTTATATAGCACATTTCATACACAATGGTAATTCAAAGTGCTTTACATAAAAGGAATTAAAATAATCATAAAAAATAATCACAACAATAAACCAAGGAAATTAAAAACTTTTAAAATAATCTAAAATTGATTTAAAATGAATGTTGATCCTTGTGGGACTCCGCATGTCATGGTCGTCCACTTAGGCTTATGCTCTCCTATACTCACATAATAACCTCTCCCTTCTAAGTATGACCTGAACCATTTGATTACCATCCCAGAAAGCCCGACCCAGTTTTCCAGTCTCTCTAGTAGTATGTTATGATCAACAGTGTCAAACGCAGCACTGAGATCTAGTAGTACCAGCACTGATATTTTGCCAGAATCAGAATTTAAGCGAATATCATTTATTATAATAAATGAGAGTGTTTTAAAATCCTGGAATTTCATGACACAGTGTCTATATAGAAAAATGACTCATCCATTCAAAAGAATATCTTACAATTGTTTGTTTTGTCTCTACCTTTATAAAATAAATTAATGTAATTGTGCACAAGCATTGACAGCCTCTATTGATGTGCAAAGAAGCTATGTTTTGTTCTTAACTCCCAAAACTTTCCAGTAATGGAGGGCAGTTTTTTTCTGGTGTGACTAGCCCTTTCTTTGTGTAATGTCTCCATCCTGACAGACTCCTCCTCTTTACCTGATCTGGGGTATAAAGGACACTTGTTTTGTCACAGATGCGATACATTGGCTGAAATTAGGCTTATACTGCAGGTTCCCTCACAGCTGTCCAGTTATTTTACCAGCATCTCTGGCATTGCATAGCTGCCACAGATCCTTTAAGAAGACATGTCTTTAGGCCTGGAGCTCATAGGTATCGTGTCATGTGTGCTGGGCTGGCTTTTGGCCATCGTGGCTTGTGCTCTCCCCATGTGGAGGGTCACAGCCTTCATCGGCTCCAACATCGTGACGGCTCAGATTATCTGGGATGGCCTGTGGATGTCCTGCGTGGTTCAGAGCACCGGACAGATGCAGTGTAAAGTCTATGACTCCATGCTGGCTCTCTCTCAGGATCTTCAAGCAGCTCGAGCCCTGACTGTCATATCCATCCTTCTGACCGTCTTGGCTGTACTGGTGTCCATCGGAGGAGCGAAGTGCACTAACTGCATTGAAGAAGAGTCGTCCAAAGCTAAAGTCATGATCCTAGGAGGTGTGCTGTTCATCGTAGCTGGGCTTATGCAGCTGATTCCCGTGTCCTGGTCTGCAAACAGCATCATCAGGGACTTTTACAACCCTTTGCTGCCTGACGCCAGGAGACGGGAGATGGGAGCGGCGCTCTACATCGGCTGGGCAGCAGCTGCGCTCCTGATTTTGGGGGGATCGTTGCTTTGTTGCTCCTGCCCTCCACAGGAGAAAAAATATAACCCGTCTAGGATGCCGTATCCTGCGTCTCGCTCGAACGGTGGGGGAGGCTATGACAGAAGAGACTATGTGTGAAACAAACAAAGGACAACTCTGAACTCAGTGTTGCAGTGCTCAATGCACAGGCATAAATGAAAATATGCCACACATTCTCCATCGTGGAGAAACATGTTTGATGCCTTTGGTCTCCGTGTAAGTGCGATGTAGGCTGTTCAAAATGTAATGACACTGACAGTGTGAAATGGCCTTTTGTAATTGCTATGAAAATGCAAACTAGCTCTGTTACGTTCAGCTGAAATCTCAACGAAGCATCATTTTTAGCTAACTGAGGTGTATAAAGCTGATTTTACATTTATTGGTCAATTCTTTTAGTTTTTTGGACTAGTTGCACTAAGATTTTATGTTTGATTTCAATGTATTTTAACACAGACAAGTTGACTATGTGTTCACTATATGTTGTAGAATTTAATATCATCTTTTTTTTAATCCATCAAAACCGTGTCTGATTTAAATTGTAATTTGGATTTCTTTATTATTTATATGATTTTTCTCATCTGTTTGTACAAATGGAATTTGAGAAGCACGTACATTTTCTTGTACATGTATCTTTGGTTCATAAACACTTGATGTTTGATTTCAATGTATTTTAACACAGACAAGTTGACTATGTGTTCACTATATGTTGTAGAATTTAAAATATCATCTTTTTTTTAATCCATCAAAACCGTGTCTGATTTAAATTGTAATTTGGATTTCTTTATTATTTATATGATTTTTCTCATCTGTTTGTACAAATGGAATTTGAGAAGCACGTACATTTTCTTGTACATGTATCTTTGGTTCATAAACACTTCCTGCCACAAATTTGTAAGCTAACTTTTAAAATAAGTAAACAAACTGAACTAAAAGCTGTCCCAGGGATCATTTAAGTGTGGTCCAGGATTGTGGGAGGAGGGTTAGTATGGTGGGAGTTTGAGTACTTTATTTGTGAGCACTGAGCTGGAAAGAACAGCTGAGGAGTACAGGTTTCTGTGAACGGTAATTTTGTCCTATAGTGTTCATATTGTAGTCTGTGTAGCTAGTACAACAATAAATGAACACATCAAGTATGGAGTATGGAAGCTTGAAATCATCTCTGTATCTCTTCCTTTATGAGGATGTAATGAAGACTAGAGAAAACCTGAAACTCAAGCCATGGGGCCATGTTACCTGCAGTTAGCAGCAAAGCCAAATACACACCAGTAATCATCAGCAGATCACCTAACAAGAGCAGGTGGCAAACGGTGGCACGTAACAACAGAGAAATAGCAGAGTTACACAAATGCAATTTTCAGAGGTTAATTATTTAGCTGAAGCATTAACTTCACTATGAAAAAAAAAATCAACAAATAAATAAAAAGGAAAGTTCTTAGTCAGAAACCACTTTTATTAATTCTGTTGAATTACATGATGGAGAACCAATTTTGGCAGCTTCTAACAGCGCCAGCGTAAAATATTGAAGAGGGCCTCATATGGGTGACGCATACATCAGCATATCACGTTACCAGGGTATGTCACCTGTTTCTATAAACACAGGATCAGTGTCAGCTCAATTAAGGACAGCATGCAGGCTAAATTACCTACCTTGATAATATTAACACCATTAATAGATTTTTTTCTTTTGATAAAATAAAAATCTAGATGCTAGTGGTGACAGAATCTACTTATTACTCTATTGTACGAACTATAAAAAGACCAAGATTTGTTTTAGATGTCTACATAGCATACATGGAGACAAACTATCAAAGACATACAATACAATACATACATTTGGCTGAATGCACAATATCTTTAATATGTTAGTCAATGTGACATGGTTGAAAGCACTGTAAAACTCTATGGTCATCATTTTGCAAATCGTCATGTCGACTGTATGCATGTGCTGTGCAAAATTGGAAATAGCATTTCCAGGAGAAGCTATTAAACCTGTTCGGTTTTTACCTTTCATATGTGCGCTGGAAAAAAATGGCCAGGAATTCACAGGATTAAAGAGTATTATTTTACAATTAATTACTGCAGTCAGACATTTACTGTGAAGAGTGCATGCTGGGTCATTTTCTTACCAATAACTGTGAATGGACAGCAGAATGATGCTAACATCACAGTAATTTACTGCTCTTGTTTTACCGTGAATTCACATTATAGTTGTCTTTAACTGTGCCACTGTGAGAAATTTAGTTGTTATATTTGTTAATTGTTTTGAAGTCACCATAATGGTGATTAGTGACTATTATTTGTTTGGAATCTTGGACTTAACTCATTCATATTCAAATTTCTGATCTAGTTATGTCAGAGGTGTGATAAATGAAAACATTTGTCGAAATGATGACAAGCTGGAACATGAAATAAGCTAGTTTCCTGACTTCAAGATAGTCGCACTATTCTTAGCATGAACATGAAGTTTTATTTGAGTTTTAAGCAGGAAGATTAATCAATAGTGTATTTCGTATTCACAACTGTTTGTATGGATTCAACATTACACAATAAACTAACAACACAAACTGCTAAAAGTGAAGCCAAAACAAGTTCAATAGCACAAACAAAACCAACAAGAATTAAAAAAAAAAAAACTACTTCAAGATAGTCGCACTATTCTTAGCATGAACATGAAGTTTTATTTGAGCTTTAAGCAGGAAGATTAATCAATAGTGTATTTCGTATTCACAACTGTTTGTATGGATCCAATATTACACAATAAACTAACAACACAAACTGCTAAAGGTGAAGCAAAAACAAGTTCAATAGCACAAATAAAACCAACAAGAAAAAAAAAAAATTACAACATGATCGATTCATTCTGCATCGTATGCTGGGTGCCTTCATAGTACACATACACTGTAGAAACACAGTATGATGCAGTTAGATACAAGAGAAGACCCACTGTGAAATTACTGTGGAAGTAATGCAATTATTAACCTGGAATATACTGTAATTTCACACTAAACTTTTACAGTGCGCACTTTCCTAACAAATAACTCATTAGGCCCAATGGCTTGAGCTGAAATGCTGGTGTACCGGTGCTCTCTGTAAGTGATCCAAATCTCGAAGTGCTTCACAGAGTTCTCTTTGTTCAATCTCGACTGTTCCCGGGGAAACTCAACTCTGTTCACAACAGTGATTCCTCTGAAACTGAGGTCACATGACCGATACTGGAGAAGGTAAGGAACGAGGGCTGCTAGACAGCCAGAGTCATTGGAGGAAAGATCCTTGCTTTCTCAAAACACAGGAACATTGTGTTTGAAGGGAGGAAACTGGATGTTATTGATCACATTGTCACAACACGTTGTGAAGTGTGAGTTATACACGCACAAGGTAGTAGTCTTTAATAACCCACAAGGCAAAAGTCCACACAGAGCAACAGTCCAAGCACAAGTCAAGATGCTGAAATCTAGAGATGTGTTAGTGTTTAATGTTCTGTTGGGATTGAAAGGGTCTCTGTTGTCTGAGTTTTGTGGGTTATCATTGTGCTGAAGAGTAGAGTCTGTGCTTCAGTCCAGGAGAAGACCAAGAAACATTGATGTTATGCTGCATGTTGCTTTATTTAAAGGCAGTAACTGTGTAGTTGTTGATGTCGTGATAGTTAGCTCATGTGTGCTGTTGCTAGCTAATGTTTATCTAGAAAATATCTGTAAAGTAACAGTGTTTTTTTTTTCTAAAACATTCAAGAAAAATTAGGATATTTTTTGTCACAGCCATCTTCTGGAGTGACAGCCACCAGAGGGCACTCCTCCTGGATCATAGTTTATTGCTTGTGGACTTCAATTCCCATCACCCTTTGCCTCGACTATCATGTTTCATTGCCTTCTGCTGTTTGTAATTTACCCATTTAGCTCTCCATATAATACACCATGTTCTCATACCTTTGTTGCTGAAGTATTGGTTTGTCACTCTGTTCTTCTGTGTTTTTGCTGGATCCTGTTCTCTGGGTATTCTTATGCTGGTGCTTCTTACCTTTGCCTTTTTTCTTCTATTAAAGTTGCTCTTGGATCATCTTCTACAAAGTTTTCAGTGTGATTCTATGACAATTTTTCCTTAATTTGACTGTTTTTGTTTGGAAGCCGCTTCTTCTAGTCATTGACATTTTTTTTTCTTTTTTAACAATCTTTAACCACTATTTCCATTAATAGTAAATATTTGGCACCCTGTGCTGCCATACATTTGACCAGTTTTTATGTCTATTTTTATGTCTACATAGAAAGTGTCAATTTTGATTTCATAGAACTTTAACAAGAAACATGGATGTTAACCTGTTTAACCAGTTTGGTTTTTGCTCTTTTTGACCAATAATGTATTATTGGTAATATGGAACAAACGCCTCTGCCCTCTCCAGACCTTTGTAACAAAATATTCTGCTACAATATTTCATGCTTTTATATGTTTGTTTCCTTTTTAAAGGGGTCCTATTATGCTTTTTCACTTTTTCAACTTTAAAGAAACTATCTCTGCAGCTGATGCTTTGTTAAAAAAAAAAGTCTTGCAGTGTCAATAAAGGCAGAATAAATGCCACCATTTACTTTAATGAATAAGATTTCATCTCTAAATGTCTACTTTGGTATTATTTGCAGCATAATATTACTGTAATTTACAGACATGCTTACAGTTAATATCCAGATTTAAAAAATACTATCAAGTTTTAAACAATTCCTGAACGTGCAGGTTTTTTTTTTTTTACCCACAGCACAAATTCACACATGCTTATTCTTACACATACTGTGGTTCTGATAGGTGTGTCCAAATGTTGCACACTAGTGTTCACATGGTGAGAACTGCCGGTTGTGGTGACATTGTGAAGGTGTTAAGAACTGAATATGTCTTTAGAGTTGAAACACAAGTGAAACAGTGAACAGTGAAGCACAAGAACAGTTTCAATAGTTTTGAGAACTCTTTTAGACTATGGTCTGAGGTAAATGATAAGTGGCTAATATAATGCTTTTTTTGTCTAAAGCAAGTGAATAAACACTGTAATAAGGTTACATATTTATGAAAGCAAAAGTGGTGCTTAGCAAGCAACACTAAATAATATTCTTATGTGTTGAGTGTCATTCTGC